GGTTTCTACCTATAGTTTTATGTATTGCAAAGGTTCCGCAAGAAGCCTCATTCACTGAGTACACTGTAGCCCCATTTTAGGTATTCCAATCAATCATAGGCAGAAGACGGACTTACAAGCCTTCTAGTGTAGTGTTTCTGACTATTCCTTTCTCTCCCTCTCCAGTGTCTACTCTATATTGTAATGCAAGGGAAACCAGGATTAAAACAAACAAACAAACAGTCAAGCATCTTAACAGGTCCCCCCCCCCATTCCAACCATGACTCAATCCCTGTATCTCAGAGCCCTGCAGTTCCAAGGCTGTGCATATATCGTCCTTTATCTCTGTCCCCTTTAGCCCTTTCGAACATGCCCAATTGTTCTCCCATCTGCCCCATTTCTCCACTTCCCTCTCCCTCCCTGTATATTGCCCCCCTCCCTAGCACCCAAGTCAAAGCATCATTTTAACTGGGTTATAATGACAGCTCTGACTAGGACATTTGTTGTTGTTAGGTGTCATCAAGCAAGGCACATTTAAAAAGTTCAAAAAGTAAATAAGTATAGAAGTTTGGTTTGCAGGTATATTGATACATGTAAACTAGGCTTACAAGAAATTTTTTTGATGTTCTAACTAACTACAGGGATATTGTTATAAAATAATAATAATAATAAACTTCAGTGGAAAAGCTGCACAAAAATCTTATAGACGGTCATCTTGGTGTCACCCCCTCTGATAGTGTTACCTACTTTTGTCTGTACCCATCACCACTCCCACTTCGTGATGACACTGAGAGGAACAGGTACCACAGATGACATCCAGGAAGAAACAGGGTTCTGATTATGGAGGGCACTGTAGCCATTCTAAGGACTCGTCTTTGTTCTGATGGGATGGTCACCCCTGGATTGTTTCTGCTTATACATACTATGGCTGAGTACAAGCCATATCATCAGGAGGCATGGCATGATTAGAATTGTGTTTTAATGGTCACTGTGGTTGCTTAATGGGACAGGGGGGTGAGGCAATGTGAAACAGAGGCACTGAGAATAGAGGCACAGGGAAGGTTTTAGCTTAGAAAATAAAATCTGAATAACCAGCTTCAAACAGTGACTATTGTTAAGATTTAACTCCCTCCTTAGCTATGTTCCATAATTAATTTTTCCTTCTAAAACTACAAAACAGAACAAAGGGGAAGTCAGCATACAGAAATGATGGAAACAGTCACTGTGTTCAGGATAAGACCACCCTAACTACTGGAGTAGAAAAACAATACAACAGTGCTTGACGACAAGTTCCAAGATCTTGGTTTTCTTCTGCATTAAAAGCCCCAGGCTGCCCTCCAGTCAGAGAGACAGATCTGGGAAATTCCTGCTTCTCTGTGTTCCTGTATATCAATGCACAATAAATGCTTTGCTCTTTGCTCTGAGCCCTATCTCCAAGTATTGACTATGTTAGCAACAGGTGATTTTTAAAAATGTTTAATTTAATTTTAAAAACATCATTTTTGTGGTTATGATTCAGGTACCCCAGATGGGGCACTGATCACCTGTGACATAGGGGTCTTATGCAAGACCAGCCCTTCTTAAAGGCTCTGTTAAGTTACTAAGTGCCATAGAGTCGGTTCTGACTCATAGCAACCCTGTATAAGGTTTCTGAGGAGTTGCTGCTGGGTTTGAACCACCAGCCTTGTGGTTCAGGCCCTAACAGCCTCAAAGGGGACTTTCCCTCATAGGTCCATATGGAGGGTTGAGCCATAGCAGGGTGCTCCCAGTCTTCTGTCCTCTCTCAGAGCATAATGCAAGAGCTGGTGAACAGCCCAGAAAGCTCTCAGTCCTCTCCTTGTTGGGATGAAAAGGGTCAGTGATCAATGGGGCTATCAGCTGACCATTGGTTTCTAAGATGAAGAAAATGGCATAAGATGACCACTCCCATGAGTAGGATCACAGAGAGCATGGACTACATACAGTATCAGGAAGGCAGGCAGACCTATGTTTGGGTTTTTAGTTCCACCAGAGATGAGTGTAAGGCCTCTATTCCTTTAAGAAGTGACTATGTGGTTCTTGGGTTTTGGACTGTGAGTAAGGCAAGTGAATGATGTAGCAGTGGCTGGAATTGTAACACTTCAAGTGTTTGGATGTTTGTCCTGTGTTTTTCTTGTCCATTGTTTTTGTTTGTTCCTTTTTGTCTCATTACCAGGAACCAGAAATGTTGGCTTTTTCAGACTTTGAGTTTCAGGCCATCCATAGGGTCTCCCCTGAGACAGTGGAGGGAGACTTAAGCTGGTATTTGAGCAGGAGGGGTGGGAAGCAGAGAGAGCAGTTAAGAGTGTTGGCAGCAATCCAAGCAGGATTTCCCACTTTCTCTCTCCATTCTTGGCAAAGTGGTGGTCTTGTTCATCTTAATTCGTCTATTGCCAAGCACAGCGTCTGGCAAAGAAAAAATGGTTGAATGAATCCTTGAGCAATAACACCTCAACCTGAAGTCAGACATGAGTGCCACAGGAGGGACCAGGCTCTTGTCCATATTAAAACATCACCAATGTTAAGAATGATACCTCAAAGGTGATAGAAGACATGTAAATGGAAAGAGATAGGGTTCCAAACCCTCATCTGCCAAGAATATCTACTTTGCCTATTGCCTGTATCCTTGAAATCCATAAGCAAATACTTCTCGCCTCTCCAGTTAATCAGTGCAGGTGTGTATGCAAAACTGGGATTGGGAAATTGAGACTTTCTCTTGTTTGCATCTCCAATGTTGTGGTTTCTTGAGGAGACTGTAGCCCAAGGAACACTTGGGTTGATTGGAAGTTCCTGTCCCAGCCAAGAGGTAAATCCATCCATTTTCCATTTCTAACAATGAGTCATTGTGTGTGTCTGAAATATTTTTTACTGCAAGAGCATTCCTCTAGGTTGCCTGGTACTTTGTATGTACCTCATTTGGGATAGACCCAGAGCAAGAAAGAACATTGTGCAAAAGCAGTCCTAGCTCAGGATGTAAACTTGCCTTCTCTGCTGGGTGGAATCTGAGTCTTAGACTACCTGCCAACTAGAAGAGAGGCATCATGCTGACCCCTGTCATAACTGTATCCTATGAGGTCAAGATTGTGTTTCTGTTGCTTTCAATCTTGGAGTTTATAGTGGGGGTCCTGGCTAATGCCTTCATCTTCCTGGTGAACCTCTGGGACATCGTAAAGAGACGGCCGCTGACCAGCTGTGACATGGTGTTACTGAGTCTGAGCACCACTCGACTGTTCCTTCATGGGCTGCTGTTTCTGGATGCCATCCAACTCACCCACTTCCAACAGATGAAGGACCCACTGAACTGGAGCTACCAAGCCATCCTTGTACTCTGGATGGTTACCAACCAAGCCAATTTCTGGCTTGCCACATGCCTCAGCATCCACTACTGTTGCAAGATTGTCCACTTCTCCCACACCACCCTGCTCTGCCTGGCCCGCTGTTTCTCCAAGAAGATGCCCCAGATGCTAGTGGGAGTTATTACGTTCTCCGGTGTCTGCACATTCCTCTGTTTGTGGGATTTCTTCAGCAGATCCCGCTTTATGTTCACAACTGTGCTGCTTGTAAATAATACAGAAAAGGGAAACCCACAGATTCACTTCTTGTACTCCTTCCTCTTCTGCAATCTGGGCTCCTTCCCCCCTTTCTTCTGCTTTCTGGCTTGTTCAGGGATGCTGATTGTCTCTCTGCAGAGGCATTTGAGGACAATGAGAGCCAACTCCTGTGGCTCTCGTGACCCTAGCCTGGAAGCCCACATCAAAGCCCTCAACTCACTTGTCTCCTTCCTTTTCTTCTATATAGTAGCGTTCTGTGCTGCCCTCCTCTCGGTGCCCTTACTACTGCTGTGGCACAGCAAGATAGGGGTCATGGTTTGTGTTGCTGTCATGGCAGCATGTCCCTCTGGTCATGCAGTTGTCCTGATCTCAAGCAGTGGCAAGTTGAGGAGGACAGTGCAGACCATTCTACTCCGGGCACAGAGCAGCCTAAAGGTAAGGGCCTACCACAAGGCAGACCCCCGGACATTGTGCTGAGAGCAGGCATGAAAAGAACCTCTTTGTGCGCATGTCTCTGCTTCTCCATGAAGCCTTTGAAACCTGGCCCAATCTTCCTCCCCTTTACAACAATGGACTAACCCCTAGAAAAGTAAAACAATTAGAGCTCTCCACATGACCTGGTAGTCAGGTGCCATCAAGTCAGTTCCAATTCATAGCAATCTCATGTGAAACAAGACAAAACCCCGCCTGGTTCTGCACCATCTTCACAATTGTTGCTGTGTTTGAACCATTGTTGTAGTCATTGTCTTTTTCACTTGTCATAGCAACCTTGTATCGGGTTTCCAAGACTACAAAACTACGCAAGAGCAGAAAACCCCATCATTCTACCACAGAGCTGCTGATGGGATCAAACTGCCAACCTTATGCTTTGTACTCCAGTGTTTAGTGCACAGAACCACCAGCTTCTATCTCCTTTTCACTACCCATCTACCAAGCATGATGACTTTCTCAGGGAATGGTCCCTCCCGATAACATGCCCAAACTACCTGAGATGAAGTCTCACTATGCTGGCTTCTAAAGAGCATTCTTAGGCAAATAGTATGGTTTTGATATGGTTAGATTTTGAGCTACCATTTTGGGTTTGTTTTTTTTTCTTCTATTTGTCCCATTATTTTTCACTCTTACTCTTCTATTTGTCCTTCCTTGCCTTCTTTATGGATAATAAAACTCTTATAGTATTTTATTTGGAATCTTCTCTTGGAGCCTTGGTTATATCTCTTTTCATTGAAGTTTCAGTGGTTACTCTAGGGATGACAGCCTCCATTTTTATCACAGTCTACTTGGAGTTAATATTGTACTTGCTGTTAAGTGCTGTCGAGTCAGTTCTGAATCACAACAGCCCAGTATAATGTCTCCAAGGAGCAGCTGGTGAGTTTGAACTGCCAACTTTGTGGGTAGCAGTCCAGTGCTTACCCTACAGTCCCACACCAGGACTATTTCATGTGAAATGCAGTCACCACTATCTGCACCCTCTGTGCTGTGTTCGTCATCTTTTACATCCGTATCAATTGCAAACCCCACAATAAAATGCCATAACTTTTACTGCCGTTATCTTTTTTAAATTAAAAGAAGGAAAAATTAAGAGAAGGAAAAAGATCGTTGTTAATGCTTTCTTTATGGAATAATCATCAATTAATGATACTGTGCTAGATATAAAATCCTATTAATATGGGTTGGTTTCTGTTTTTCTTTCAGTATCCCATTGTGCTGACTACAATTGATCTTGGTGAAAAGTTAGTCATTGCCTTCTCACTATTCTCCTACTTGTAATCCGTCCACTCTCTATGGCTGTTTTCAAAATGCTTCCTTTTCTTCAATTTTCAGAAATTTCAGTCTGATGTACGTAAGTGTACATTTCTTTGAATATCACCTATATGCCCTATTTGAAGTCTGTGTCCACGGTCTGTACAGGTAGCACAACCTTTCTCATTTACCTTCCCATCCTCATTACTACATCTTCCAAGTAATACCCCAAGAATCTCAGTGACATCAACTGGTCCAAAATTTGGAGAGGGGCCTGGTTATTTTTTCCTAACTTTTAAGATTATGTAAGTGCTATCCGTTCATTGTTCTGCCTGTGTAATTCTAGGAAGAGCCTCTTCCTATGATATTTGACCCAAGGGAAGCCTAATTTTATCATATATGCTGGCCAATTTGCTGTTGTTAGGTGCCATCGAGTCCATACTGACTCATAGTGACCCTATGCACAACAGACCAAAACACTGCCCAGTCCTGGGCCAACCTCACAATTGTTGCTACACTTGAGCCCATTGATGTTGACACTTTTCCAATCCATCTTGCTGGGGCAGGGAGGGAAAGTCTTCCTCTTTTTCTCTGACCCTCCCCCTTACCAAACATGATATCCCTCTCCAGTGACTGGTCCCTCCTGACCATATGTCCTAAGTATGAAAGACAAAGTTTGGCCATCCTGGCCTCCAAGGAGCACTCTGGCTGCACTTCTTCCAACATAGATCTGTTGGTTCTTTTGGCAGGCCAATTTGTTACTAACATCTAATTCATACACCAGCTCATTTGTCATCAAGCCACATCTTGGATACCTGATTGAATGCCAGACTGATGGAGACCTCAGAGATGACCTATTCTGATACTTCACCTCTCACTGAAGTCTGGGGCTCGACCACATTCTGAACACAAGCTCTTAGACCTCTAGACTCCATTTGGATCCTTATTTTAATAAAACAATTACCACAGAGCTCTTCAAGAGCCTACCTGTGAAGAAGTCCCCACTAGTCAGTTCTCAGCATGAACACATATTAAGTGTTTGGAACACCTAGACTCCTTGACCTTTGTACTGGTTAATACCTGCCTGGATCACACCTCTACCTAAAACCAAATCAGCCCACAACAGGACCGCTCTAGGGTAGAGTCAATTACCATTCCAAATCTACTTCTGCTTTCTAGTTGAATTGTTTTAAGGTTTTCTCAATAAAATATTCCACAAGGCATTTCTCCCATGGGATTTATATATTCAAGAATTTAACAAGAAATACTTTAGGGGGAAAAGGATACAGAGCAGCAGGTGGGTTGCAGTTAAGTAGAATTATAAAATTCAAGTTAGCTTTGAGGTGCACAGAATCCTAACACATGATGTGGTTACAGTAGAATTTCAGAACTTAGTGGGGGGAGACTCACAAAAGTGAATGAAGCATTTAAGTCATGATAAGAGGCTGCCCATAATTAAGTACCAAAACTGTTGGTATAAGTAAAACAGTTCAGATCCTAGCTTAAGTGAAATAGAATGTGCAAAAGTTTAACGGAAAGAATAAACATGGCATGTTCCATGCAGGAAGTCCTGGTATGGCACTGTAGAATCAACACAAGTTCAAACCCACCAGCTGCTCCTTGGAAACCCTATACCAGGTTTCTACAAGTCAGAACCAACTCCACAGGTAAGTCAAGGTCAAAGGTTATGCTGCCAAACTCAAGAATTGTGACTTTTTTATTTACTAGAATCCCCAGGCAAAAGGTAACCATGCTTGGTTCCTGATGAAAAGGTTAGAAGTTCAAGGTTGCCCATGTTGTTGTTGTTGTTGTTAAGTGCCATCGAGTCGGTTCCGACCCATAGCAACCCTGTACAGGGTTTCTGAGGGTGTAAATCTTTACAGGAATAAAAAGCCTCATCTTTCTCCCGCGGAGCGGCTGGTAGTTTCAAACCGCTGACCTTAAGGTTTGCAGCCCGATTCATAACCACTACGCTACCAGAGCTCCTTAAGGTTGCCCATAGGTGCATCTTAAGTAAGGTCTAGCAATCTACTTGCAAAAAAATTAGCCACTGAAAACTCTTTGGAGTTCTATTCTGATGCATGTGAGTCACTATGAATTGGAATAGATGCATTGCAACTGACTTTAGTTTGGTTATAATAGAACCTTCAATAGGGAAGTGGTATGATTACAACAGTGATTTTATAGCTCATCCTCTAGTGGGACAGTGTTGATTAGATTTGAAGGGAGAAGACAGGGAATATTTGCACACCAAATGTAAAGAAAGGAGAAATGGACCCATATGGAGCCAGTGGAAATAGAAAAGATGTAATACATACGATAGAGATTTTGAAAAACATCCTCACCTAGTGTCTTAATCTGTTGGCTAATAGAAAAGGGAGACTCAAGGAGGATTTCGTTATGTGAGAGTCAGTTGCCACATGATGTAATCAGTAACAAAAAATAAAGAAGTTAAGAGAGGAAGTTGGTTTGAGTGTGGAAAAAATGATGAAGAATAGGGTTTGGAATTATTATAAATAGGTTGGGATTCGTGTCCTCTAGTTAGAGAACAATCAACAAATTTTTGGAAATGAAGAACCAAAATTTAGATGAAAGATTCAAACTAGAAACAACATGTCATCATCAAGTGAGAAAGGCTAGACTAAAAAAAAGTAACTTTGAGTTGGGTTATAAAGTAAAGTGAAAGTATTGGATAGATGTTTTAGAAGGAGCAAGCGAGCCAAAGTTAGTGATGATGGTTGCAAAGAAATATGTTTTTCTTTTGCCTTCCCACAACTCATTTTTTTCTGAAAAGGGCAGCCTTCTCCTCAGGACAACTCTCTTGCTCCTGTTCCAACCAGGACATGTTCCATGATTCTTTCCCTGATCATGTTTACTGAGTACATTCCAGGCCCATCAAAATCCATTCTTGGAATGTCTCCAACCTCATCTGAAAAAAAAAAGTGCCAGAGCATAAAATCCAGCAGATTCCAATAGCTATGTTCACCAGTATGTTTCTATCACCTGCAGAAATGAGCAAATGCAACAGGTGGATATGGCGAAAACTGACTTGATTTGGTCCCTGACATTCCAGAGGTCCAGCTGCATCCTTGTCCTTTGTGCTTTGATTTGTTGCACAACACCCCTCATATCCCAAGGGTCACCATATTTCATCTTCTACTAAACACATTCGAATTAAATTGCTGACACTTGCAACCAAAAGAGTTATAATACAATGAGTGGTACAAAAACCCATAAATGTGACAAGTAAGTCCATGATCCGATATTTAAAGAAACTAAGTTCAACAACAAAACAGGTGAACAGTCACACAAGATTCAGAGAAATGGGTTATTGCTAGAGCATCTTCCATAATATTTTTTATTCTACTTTGCCCATTTTGTTTGTAAGACATATTTAACTTTACAAGTGATTAAAATCTAAATAAAGACCATCGTCACGATGTGCCATGGAGTCTGTTCCGACTCATAGCAACCCTATACAGGGTTTCTAAGGCTATAAATCTTTACGGGAGCAGTAAGCTGCATCTTTCTCCAGTGGAACAGCTGGTAGTTTTGAACTGCTGACCTTAAGGTTCACAGCCTGTTTCGTAACCACTACACTACCAGAGCTCCTTAAATAATAGGTAAATCTATGTAATTAATAGTACTGCCTAATTCAATACTTCAATACTGCCTAAGAAGATATTGTGTTTTAAAAAGGGATGAAGGAAAGAAGCGAATGATACTGCTGTCAA